TTTAGGAATGAGCTGCCATGTTGCCTTTGTCTGCTCTAAACCCTTGGGATTATATTAAATGGATAAAAATCCCCCTTTTCCATGTTGTTTTTTCATGGAATCCCTGCTCCAAAACGTTTGCAGCTGGGAAACTGAAGTGGCTTGAGTTGAGGATTAAAAAATAAAAAAAAAATCTGGAATTCTGATTATTTCTATCTGCTCCAGTTGAAACTTTTTGGGCAAGAGGATCCCAACTGGCACTTTTTTTCTTTTTTTTTTTTTTGTGGATGCAAAGGAGCAACTTGTTGGGAAAAATCTGGTTGCAAATGGGAGAAAACTTCAAAGTGGCTCCCAGGGATTTGGCTTTGAACTTTTCCTTTAGTCTGAGGGTTTCTGGTCTGGCCTGGCTATAAAAGTGTTAAATATTTACATGGTGTTCCCAAAGGGAAAATCAGCTGGACAACAATAGGCTGCCTATAGCCAGAGTCTGCAAAAGGCACTTCAGCTGGATGCAAATGTTGGGAAGATCCCAAAAAAAAACTTCTCTGGAATATTTAAGAGCAGGGGAAAACCTCCAATAAACCACTGCAGTTTTTTCCTTCCAGCAGCTCCCACATATTTCATTTTTTTTTATATTTCATTTTTTAATATTTCTTTTTAAAAATATTTTAAATATTTCTTTTTTTTTAAATATTTCTTTTTTTTTAAATATTTCTTTTTTTTAAATATTTCTTTTTTTTAAATATTTCTTTTTTTTTAAATATTTCTTTTTTTTTAAATATTTCTTTTTTTTTAAATATTTCTTTTTTTTTAAATATTTCTTTTTTTTTAAATATTTCTTTTTTTTAAATATATTTCTTTTTTTATATATATATTTTTATATATATTTCTTTTTTTTATATTTCTTTTTTTTTATATATTCTTTTTATATTTCCTTTTTTTTTATATTTCATTTTTTAATATATTTCATTTTTATTTTCCTTTGTTCTCGTTCCCTGAGCTCTGGGCTGCGAATTCCAGCGCTGCCAGTGCAGCAGGTGCTGGGAATGGGGCTTTGGGAGCGGAGCAGCTGTCCCAGGGAAGAGCTGGGATGGGGAACAATCCCAACCACGCCGCAGCCAGGGCTGGGCAGGGCAGCCGGGGCTGGGCAGGGCAGCCGGGGCTGGGCAGGGCAGCCGGGGCTGGGCAGGGCAGCCGGGGCTGGGCAGGGCAGCCAGGGCTGGGCAGGGCAGCCAGGGCTGGGCAGGGCAGCCAGCGCTGCCCACGGAGAGCAGGCGGCAGCTGGGACAGCGGGGACGGGATGGCCCCGGTCCCTGATCCCGGCAGCAGTGGGATCACCCCAGTCCCTGATCCCGGCAGGAGTGGGATGGCCCCGGTCCCTGATCCCGGCAGGGACGGGATCGCCCCGGTCCCTGATCCCGGCAGCAGTGGGATCCCACGCCCTCCTGATCCCGGCAGGAGAGGGATCGCCCCGGTCCCTGATCCCGGCAGCAGTGGGATCACCCCAGTCCCTGATCCCGGCAGGAGTGGGATCGCCCTGGTCCCTGATCCCGGCAGGGACGGGATCGCCCCGGTCCCTGATCCCGGCAGGAGTGGGATCACCACAATCCCTGATCCCAGCAGGGACGGGATTGCCCCGGTCCCTGATCCCGGCAGGAGTGGGATCACCACAATCCCTGATCCCAGCAGGGACGGGATGGCCCCGGTCCCTGATCCCGGCAGGAGTGGGATCACCCCAGTCCCTGATCCCGGCAGGAGTGGGATCGCCCCGATCCCTGATCCCGGCAGGGACGGGATCCCAGCCCCTCCTGATCCCAGCAGGAATGGGACCACCACAATCCCTGATCCCAGTCACTCCTGATCCCAGCCAGAATGGGATCATCACGATCCCTGATCCCGGCAGGAATGGGATCCCAGGCGCTCCTGATCCTGGCAGGGACGGGATCATCACAATCCCTGACCTGGCAGGAATGGGATCACCACAATCCCTGATCTCAGTAGCTCCTGATCCCAGCCAGAATGTGATCATCACGATCCCTGATCCCGGCAGGAATGGGATCCCAGGCCCTCCTGATCCCAGCAGGAGTGGGATCACCACAATCCCTGATCCCAGCATGAAAGGGATCCCAGTAGCTCCTGATTCCAGCAGGAATGGGATTGCCCTGATCCTGGCAGGAATGGGATCGCCCCGATCCCTGATCCCAGCATGAATGGGATCCCTCTGATCCCAGCAGGGATGGGATCATCCCAGTCCCTGATCCTGGCAGGAATGGGATCACCACAATCCCTGATCCCAGCGTGAAAGGGATCCCAGTAGCTCCTGATTCCAGCAGGAATGGGATCGTCCCAGTCCTTGATCCCAGCGGGAATGGGATCCCAGCCCCTCCCGATCCTGGCAGGGATGGGATCACCCCAATCCCTGATCCCAGCAGGAATGGGATCTCCCCGGTCCCTGATCCCAGCAGGGATGGGATCCCAGCAGCTCCTTTTCCTGACAGTCCTGGATCCCAGTGGGAATGGGATCACCACAGTCCCTGATCCCAGCAGCTCCTTATCCTGACAATCCCTGATCCCAGCTGGAATGGGATCCCAGCAGCTCCTGATCCCAGCAGGAATGGGATCCCTCTGATCCCAGCAGGAATGGGATCCCAGCAGCTCCTGATCCCAGCAGGAATGGGATCCCAACAATCCCTGATCCCAGCAGGAATGGGATCCCAACAATCCCTGCACACACTGGGGCTCTTGTCCCGCCCTGGGATCTGGGGGTGTTTGGGCAGCTCTGGGTCGGTGTCCCAGGAATGATCCAGTCCTGCCTTGCTCTGTCCTGGCTCTGGTGGCCTCTGGAATTCCTCGAGGGATGGGAAAACCTTGGCACATCCACGCTTGGGGAAGGGGATGGAAAAGTTCCATGGCCTCATCTCCCTGCTGTGAGTGGATGGTGCCCCGGGATGTCCAGCTGGGATCTTCTGGAGGCTCCTGGGCACTTTGGGCGGTTGTGCCCAGGAGATTTGGGATCTGCTGTTCCCACCACCCCTCTCTAAGCCAGGCTTACCTGGGGAGGCCCAGCCTGGTGAGGTGAGACCTGAGCCCAGCTGCCCATGGATGATCCCACAAATAATGGGATCAGCTCCCTGCCGGTGTTGTACAGTGGGGCTGGATAATTAATGAGGCCAGCACTTACTGTGGTTCCAGGGCAGCTTCTCCAAGTGCAGGGGAGGTATGGAGAGGGTCGCTGACTCCTGTGTGTGTTCAGCTGGGAATTTCATCCCTCACTTCTGCCCTCTCTGGTGCGGAATTTCTCCTGCCTGTGTAACTGGGGAGAAAATAAAAATGCAGCGTAGGGACATTAATGAGACCGACCCCTTTAAGTTTTAAGGTTTGAGTTTTTCCCCCCAGCCTCCTGTTAATGATGTCCCAGTTTGGTGCTGCAGGAGAGAGAGAGAGAGGGAATCTGCATCTGTGCTGACCAAAGGCCAGAGAGAGAATCTGCATCTGTGCTGACCAAAGGCCAGAGCTAGAGAGAGAGGGAATCTGCATCTGTGCTGACCAAAGGCCAGAGCTACAGAGAGAGGGAATCTGCATCTGTGCTAACCAAAGGCCAGAGCTAGAGGGAATCTGCATCTGTGCTGACCAAAGGCCAGAGCTAGAGAGAGAATCTGCATCTGTGCTGACCAAAGGCCAGAGCTAGAGAGAGGGAATCTGCATCTGTGCTGACCAAAGGCCAGAGAGAGAATCTGCATCTGTGCTAACCAAAGGCCAGAGCTAGAGAGAGAGGGAATCTGCATCTGTGCTGACCAAAGGCCAGAGCTAGAGAGAGAGGGAATCTGCATCTGTGCTGACCAAAGGCCAGAGAAGAATCTGCATCTGTGCTGACCAAAGGCCAGAGAGGGAATCTGCATCTGTGCTGACCAAAGGCCAGAGCTACAGAGAGGGAATCTGCATCTGTGCTGACCAAAGGCCAGAGCTCACACCTGCCTGTCCTTCCCAGGTGGGCCCCAGCTCCCTTGGGAAGCGGCGCTGCAGTTCCTGGGATTCTGGGCTGGGATCTGGGGCTGTGCCGTGCCTTTGATCGTGGCGTGGTGGCAGCAGCAGGTGCCAATTACCCAGGGCAGCGCCCAGGGAGCCTCCAGGAGACGCCGCTCCCCGGAGCTTCCCTGGAGTCACAGCCCGCTGGAGATGACCTGGATAAATCCAGACTGGAGCTGCTCCTGGGAGCCTTGCTCTGCCCCGGGGCACTCCCTGCTTTCTCCAGCCTCTGTGACTCCAGCCTGGCTCAGCTTTTCCAAGCTTGGCTTCTCCCTGAGCTCTTTTTTCCGGGCTCAGGAGCCTGGAGCTGCTGGTGCTGATCCATCGGGATGGGAGGGAGCTGGTGCTGCTCAGCTGCTTCCTGCCCCAGCATGGAGCCAGCAGCTCCTTCCTTCCTCCTTCCCTGGGCTGGGAGAGCCTTTCCCAGGAATGCTGTGTCCAGCAGATCCTGGTTTGATCCTGGCTCCAGCTTCCATGGTGGGCAGACACCACCTGTTTCCCTCAGCATCCCTGGCATGGCTCCAAGGGGAGCTCTGGGGGCTGGAACTCCCGATCCCCCTGCACAGGATGAGTGAAATTCCCTGTTTCCCTTTTCCAGAGGGAGTGCAATTCCGTGTTTCCCTTTTCCAGAGGGAGTGCATTTCCGTCCCCATCCCTGTGTGAAATTCCATGTTTCCCTTTTCCAGAGGGATACATTTCCCTGTTGTTTCCCTTTTCCAGAGGGATGCGTTTCCCTGTTGTTTCCCTTTTCCAGAGGGATGCATTTCCCTGTTGTTTCCCTTTTCCAGAGGGATACAATTCCCTGTTGTTTCCCTTTTCCAGAGGGATACAATTCCCTGTTGTTTCCCTTTTCCAGAGGGATACATTTCCCTGTTGTTCCCCTTTTCCAGAGGGATGCGTTTCCCTGTTGTTTCCCTTTTCCAGAGGGGTACATTTCCCTGTTGTTTCCCTTTTCCAGAGGGATAAATTTCCCTGTTGTTTCCCTTTTCCAGAGGGAGTGCATTTCCATCCACATCGGGCAGGCTGGAGTGCAGATGGGCAATGCCTGCTGGGAGCTCTACTGCCTGGAGCACGGCATCCAGGCCGATGGGACCATTCCCAGCTCCAAGCAGGTGAAATCCATGGATCCCAACTCGGAGCAGGTGGATTCCTCCTTCGAGACCTTCTTCTGTGAGACAGCTTCTGGCAAGCACGTGCCCCGGGCAGTGTTCATAGACCTGGAGCCCACTGTCATTGGTAAAGCTGGGATTTTGCCCAAACCCATCTTTATCCGTAATTCCCAACCCTTTTTTCCGTAGGATCCTGATGTTCCCCCTCCTCTGCTCTGGTTAAATGTCCCCGGCCATTGGCAGCAGACAGAATTTACCCTCCCAGAGGGACCAGGAGGGACAAACCCGTGGCTGTCCCTGAGTTGTCTTTGTTCCCTCATTTTGGGACCTTCAGCAGGTGGGAAGCATCCTGGATTTGCCAGCCTTGGTGGTCCTGGTTGGAATTCCACCATTCCATGGCCGGATGTGGCACATCTGGCTCGGATGCCACCCGCAAAGTGGGGTGCCACACGTGCCATGGCTTCGTGGGACCCGGCTCTCCTGTTTCTTGGAGATCTTTTCCAGCCTGATGGCTTCCAAAAGATTCCCACTTCCCCTTCCAGCTCCCTCTGGGATCTCTCTGGCTGTTTGTTTGTGTGGCACCTCAATTTGAGGTGTCTCCCTAGAGAATAGTAATTATCTGTTTAGGAAATGACTCCAAACCCAGCCACCTGCTCCTGCCTTCCAGGCTTCTCCTCCTATCTTTCCATCTGGGCCGTGACTCATTAGTCCTAATTAAAGGCTTTGCAGGCTTTTGTTTGGGTTCTGCTTAATTTTTAGACACCTCATTAAGGTATCAAATGGAGAGCTTAATGAGCGAGCCAGGAGATTATGGAATGTGCCCAGTGTTGGGATGGAGTGGATTTAAAACCCCTCAGGAGGTGGGAATGTCAACTGGAGGGGTTTTGGCTGTGTCCCTTCCGTGCTGGAGAGCAGGGGATGGAGATGGAGCTTCCAGACTTCTCCTCCAGCCTGCCTGTGGTAACTGATCCCACAAAAGCTCTGGAATTGTGGTGCCCTAGCTCATTAAGCCAGATTAATTCAGGATTTCAGGCTGGGTGAGGGTGAAGATGGAGTTCTGGTAGCACCTTACCTGTGTGAGTCTCTTCCTCCCCCTTCCATCATTCCCACAACCCTTCCCTGGCCGTGCCCTGACCTCCTGCTGGACATTCCACGGATTTTGCTTCCGTCAGCCTCACCCAGAACCTTTCCTTGTGCTCTGCTCTGGCTGATTTCTCCTCCTGGTGCAGATGAGATCAGGACAGGGCCCTACCACGGGCTCTTCCACCCGGAGCAGCTCATCAGTGGCAAGGAGGACGCTGCCAACAACTACGCCCGCGGGCACTACACCATCGGCAAGGAGATCATCGACACCGTGCTCAGCCGCATCCGGAAAATGGTGAGGGAAACACCCAGTCCTGGGCTAAAATAGTGCCCTTGTCCTGGGCTAAAATAGTGCCCTTGTCCTGGGCTAAAATAACGCCCTTCTGGACAGCATTGTGGAGTTTGGGGCAGGAGTCTTGAAGTGAAAAAGTCTTGAATTAAAAAACAGCTTTAGTTGAGGCCCAAGTGTTGTTGTGGCTGTTGGGATTTGGTTTGGGGCTTGGAAAGGCTCTGGGTTTGTGTGTTTGTCCTAGAAGTAGAGAATTGTTGTGTTAAAACTGACTTAAGATGCCTGGGGAGTGTTCTAAGCAGAATTTTGTGCTGTATTACTTGGGATAGTTATCCTGGTCCTTAAATGGATAAATATCCACTTTTTGGGGATAGTTATCCCAGTTCTTAAAGTAATAAATATCTATTATTGGGATAGTTATCCCAGTCCTTAAATGGTTAAATATCCATTTTGTTGGGATAGTTATCCCAGTCTTTAAATGGATAAATATCCTCTTTTTTTTTTTTTTTTTTTTTTTTCTGGGATAGTTATCCCAGTCCTTACATGGATAAATATCCAGTATTCCTGGGATAGTTTCTCTAGTCCTTAAAGGGATAAATATCCATTTTCTTGGGATAATTATCCCTGTCCTAACAGGGAAAAAGATTCATTTTCTTGGGATAATTATTCTGGTCCTTACAGGGATAAATATATGTATTCTTGGGATAGTTATTCCAGTCCTGAAAGGGATAAATGGCCAGTATTCTTGGGATAGTTATCTCAGTCCTTACAGGGAAAAATACCCGTTTTCTTGGGATAGTGATCCCAGTCCTGAAAGGGATAAATATCTGATATTCTTGGGATATTTTTTGGGTCCTTGGGTAAATATCTGACGTTCTGCTGCAGGCTGACCAGTGCAGTGGACTCCAAGGCTTCCTGGTCTTCCACAGCTTCGGAGGAGGCACCGGCTCTGGCTTCACCTCGCTCCTCATGGAGCGGCTCTCCGTGGAGTACAGCAAGAAGTCCAAGCTGGAGTTCTCAGTGTACCCGGCCCCGCAGGTGTCCACGGCCGTGGTGGAGCCCTACAACTCCATCCTGACCACGCACACCACGCTGGAGCACTCGGACTGCTCCTTCATGGTGGACAACGAGGCCATCTACGACATCTGCCACCGCAACCTGGACATCGAGCGCCCCACCTACACCAACCTCAACCGCCTCATCGGCCAGATCGTCTCCTCGGTCACGGCCTCGCTGCGCTTCAACGGCGCCCTCAACGTGGACCTCATCGAGTTCCAGACCAACCTGGTGCCCTACCCGCGCATCCACTTCCCGCTCACCACCTACGCGCCCATCGTCTCGGCAGAGAAGGCCTACCACGAGCAGCTCTCCGTGCCCGAGATCACCAACGCCTGCTTCGAGTTCTCCAACCAGATGGTCAAGTGCGACCCTCGCCGCGGCAAGTACATGGCCTGCTGCCTGCTGTACCGCGGCGACGTGGTGCCCAAGGACGTCAACGCCGCCATCGCCGCCATCAAGACGCGCCGCTCCATCCAGTTCGTGGACTGGTGCCCCACCGGTTTCAAGGTGGGCATCAACTACCAGCCGCCCACGGTGGTGCCTGGGGGTGACCTGGCCAAGGTGCAGAGGGCTGTGTGCATGCTGAGCAACACCACGGCCATCGCCGAGGCCTGGGCCCGCCTGGACCACAAGTTCGACCTGATGTACGCCAAGCGCGCCTTCGTGCACTGGTACGTGGGGGAGGGCATGGAGGAGGGCGAGTTCTCCGAGGCCAGGGAGGACCTGGCGGCCCTGGAGAAGGATTATGAGGAGGTTGGAAGGGACTCGGCGGACGGGGAGGAGGATGAGGGTGAGGAGGATGAGTACTGACAGACTGCGGCCTGGTCTTGAGCTCGGCTGGAATCCAGACTTGTGTCCCGAGTTCCTGAGGGCCCGGGGGTGCCCGAGGACCGGCCGTGTTTGATGTATTGAACCTCCCCTGCTTGCATAGAGCTCCTCTCTAGCCTGGGTGTCTTGAGCTTTATCCCACTGCTGTTTATTGGTGAGTGACGCTGAGCCGGGCCTAACTTAGGCCTGACATCCCGCCTGGCCAGGAGATCCCGGTTCCTAATCCGGGGGATGTCGCGGGCTGCCTGCTTCGGCTGGAATGCCAAACTCTTGCTCTGGCTTTTTCTTGTAAAAGCACTTTGGAATTAGAAATGCACCTGTAAACTTCTATGCAAATGGCTTTTTGTATATGAATAAAGAGGGTTTTTTTTGGCTCAGAATTCCTTGGATTTCCCCCGGGGGGGTTTTGTGGGGAGGCTCCTGCTCGCAGATGGCCTGAGGAGAAGAGCAAATGCTGATCAGGGTGTGCTGTGAGAGTCATCATCCCTAATTAGTGTTATGGGGGAAGCGTCCTATATCCTGTGGGAATTTCTGTCTGGGGCTGGCTGCCGCTCAGGGAATTCCATGTCTGGGATCAGGGAATCACTTCTGGGTGGTGGGGAGCAAATTTTGGCATTCTCGCCACCTTTGGTGAAGCTCAGGTGTTACCTGAGCAAATCCTGGTGGTTTGGGGAGTGCTGAGGATTTGGGAAATACTCCCAGAGCAGGGAAATCCAGCCAGGAATGGGGAGAAGAGAGGGGAGCTCTGTCTGGTATTTGGGACAGGAAGGGGAAGGATCCCAAAAACTCTTCGGTGGCCCTAAAAGGACCAGGGTGGTGACAGCAGGACCAGGTTGGAGGTGGCCCCTGGGAAAGTCCAGGTCCCTTGAGCCACTCCAAAGTCCTCATCCCAGATTGTCCCCAAGAAGATTCCAGGTCCAGCCGGGAATGGGGATGGGGAAAGGGAGAGGAGCTGTGTCTGATATTTGGGACAGGAGGGGGAAGGATCCCAAAACTCTTTGGTGGCTCTAAAAGGGTTGGAGGTGGCCTCTGGGAAGGCTGAGGTTCCTTGAGTCACCCCAAGGTTGTCACCCCAAAGCCCCCATCCCAGATTGTCCCCAAGAAGATTCCAGGTCCAGCCAGGAATGGAGAGAGGGAAAGGGAGGGAACTGTGTGGGTGGAGTCGCCTTGGAAAGGAGAGGAAGGGGATTTTGGGGAAAATCCCCCAGTTTTTGGGGAGCTGGAACCTCCAATTCTCTCCACAAGGGGTGAATCCCCATAGAGTGATTGCAGCTCTATTTTCCCTTCTGGGAATAGCAAAGCTGCTCCTACAGAATTCCAGCCTGTGGGAATGCTCCCATCCCTCTTCCAGCCCATCCACCATTCTTAACTCTGTTTTATTCACAATTAATCCATTGAGTGAATTACTTTGTGCTGATGGTAAATTCCACAGAACCTTTTGTTAAATTGTTTTAGGCCATTAATTAAGTGCTTTTAACTTGAATTTCATTTTTTAATTTAAAGGTTAAAAACCTTTTAATTGTTGACGAAGGGGCTCAGTTTGATTAAGGAACCTCAGGATTCCATGGGAAGATCTCCCTTGCTCCTTTTATCCTTTCCCATTCCCAACCTCCACACAGCTCATTTTTGTTTATTTTTTTTATTCCCAGATTGCTCAAATTTCGGTTTTATTTTGCTTTTTCCCTGAGCTTTGCCCATCCAGTAAAAGCTGCAGGCTGAGCTTTGCCAAGGAGCTTTGTCACGCTTTCTCTTTTAGATGAAATCCACTTTTTCCCCCACTTCTGCCAGTGATTCCCTAGGGAATCCTTAAACCTCTCATTCCTGCTAAAGCAATCCCCGTCCTGCTGCCAGGGCTGGAAATTTAATTGGAGTTGAGATGGGAATTCCAGCACTTTGGCTCTGTCTGCCTCCTATAAAACCGTGTCCAAGCTCCCTGGAAAAATTCCTTCCCTGTCCTGGCTGCTCCCAGACGTGATGTAAGAATCCCTGGAAGCTGCGAACGAGCAGGGAAAGGGGATTGAGCCCCACCTCTGCCTTTCCCGGGATTGCAGCTGGGTCATTCCTCCTCCTCTGGGGACTCCCCTGCTGTGAGGGATCCAGGGAAAGCAGCTTGGGCAGGAAAAAAAGGAAAGGAAAGAAAAGGAAAAATCCAAGGAAAAAAAAAAGGAAAAATTCAAGGGGAAAAAAAAAAGGAAAAATTCAAGGGGAAAAAAAAAAGGAAAAATCCGAGGGGAAAAGAAAAAGGAAAAATCCGAGGGGAAAAGAAAAAGGAAAAATCCGAGGGGAAAAGAAAAAGGAAAAATCCAAGAGGGGAAAAGAAAAAGGAAAAATCCAAGAGGGAAAAAAAGAGGAAAAATCCGAGGGGAAAAGAAAAAGGAAAAATCCAAGAGGGAAAAGAAAAAGGAAAAATCCAAGAGGGAAAAAAAAAGGAAAAATCCGAGGGAAAAAAGGAGAAAAAATCCAAGAGGGAAAAGAAAAAGGAAAAATCCGAGGGAAAAAAGGAGAAAAAATCCAAGAGGGAAAAGAAAAAGGAAAAATCTGAGAGGGATAAAAAAAGGAAAAATCCGAGGGGAAAAGAAAAAGGAAAAATCCAAGGCCAGGGGAAAAAGGAAAAATCCAAGGCCAGGGGAAAAAGGAATAATCCCAGGGGGAAAAAAAAAGGAAAAATCCTAGGGAAAAAAAAAAAGGAAAAATCCAAGGGGGGGGATAAAGGGAAAATCCAAGGCGGGGGGAAAAAGGGAAAATCCGAGGGGGAAAAAAAAGGAAAAATGCGAGGGAGAAGAAAAAGAAGGAAAAATCCAAGGGAGGGGAAAAATAAAGGAGAAATGCGAGGGGGAAGAAAAAGAAGGAAAAATGCGAGGGGGGGAAAAAAGAAGGAAAAATGCGAGGGGGGGAAAAAAGAAGGAAAAATGCGAGGGGGGGAAAAAAGAAGGAAAAATGCGAGGGGGGGAAAAAAGAAGGAAAAATGCGAGGGGGAAGAAAAAGAAGGAAAAATGAAGGGGGAAGAAAAAGAAGGAAAAATGCGAGGGGGGGAAAAAGGAAAAATGCGAGGGGGAAAAAAAAAGGAAAAATGCGAGGGGAAAAAAAAGGAAAAATGCGAGGGGGAAGAAAAAGAAGGAAAAATGCAAGGGAAAAAAAAAGGAAAAATGCGAGGGAAAAAAAGAAGAAAAATGCGAGGGGGAAGAAAAAGAAGGAAAAATGCGAGGGGAAAAAAAAAAAAAAGGAAAAATCCGAGGGGGAAAAACAAAGGAAAAATCCAAGGGGGGAAAAAAAAAAAAGGAAAAATCCAAGGGGGGGAAAAAAAAAGGAAAAATCCAAGGGGGGAGATAAAGGGAAAATCCAAGGCGGGGGGGAAAAGGAAAAATGCGATGGGGAAAAAAAAGGAAAAATGCGAGGGGGAAAAAAAAAAAGGAAAAATGCGAGGGAAAAAAAGAAGAAAAATGCGAGGGGGAAGAAAAAGAAGGAAAAATGCGAGGGGGAAGAAAAAGAAGGAAAAATGCGAGGGGGAAGAAAAAGAAGGAAAAATGCGAGGGGGAAGAAAAAGAAGGAAAAATGCGAGGGGGAAGAAAAAGAAGGAAAAATGCGAGGGGGAAGAAAAAGAAGGAAAAATGCGAGGGGAAAAAAAAAAAGGAAAAATCCAAGGGGGGGAAAAAAAAAGGAAAAATCCAAGGGGGGAGATAAAGGGAAAATCCAAGGCGGGGGGGAAAAGGAAAAATGCGAGGGGGAAAAAAAAGGAAAAATGCGAGGGGGAAAAAAAAAAAGGAAAAATGCGAGGGGGAAGAAAAAGAAGGAAAAATGCAAGGGAAAAAAAAAGGAAAAATGCGAGGGAAAAAAAGAAGAAAAATGCGAGGGGGAAGAAAAAGAAGGAAAAATGCGAGGGGGAAAAAAAAAAGGAAAAATCCGAGGGGGAAAAAAAAAGGAAAAATCCAAGGGGGGGGAAAAAAAAAGGAAAAATCCAAGGGGGGGATAAAGGGAAAATCCAAGGCGGGGGGGAAAAGGAAAAATGCGAGGGGGAAAAAAAAGGAAAAATGCGAGGGGGAAAAAAAAAAGGAAAAATGCAAGGGGGAAAAAGAAGGAAAAATCCAAGGGGGAAAAAAAAGGAAAAATGCATGGGAAAAAAACCCCCAAAAGCTGGAATTGAAGGGCTGGCTTGGGAATGTTGAGCTGAGATGGGGGAATGGAGCTGGATTTGAATCCCAGTTTCTCCTCAGCGGAGCTCCGGGGCTGGGCGGTCCCCGAGGCGGGAAAGCCCCGGAGCTGCCTCACCTCTGGCCGCCCTTTCCCTTGGAGCATCCCCAGCAGGAGGAACGAGGTTTTCCAGGCCTCCCTCCAGCCTCCCGGCCCCGCAGGCTGAGGAGCTGGGAAAGCCTCTCGGATTGGTGAAAAGTGATGGATTTTGAGCAGAGAAGCGCTCCGGGAGCGTTGGGAAGGGACAATTCCAGCTCCGCCCGCCTGCCCGGGGAGCTGTGGCTATCGTGGTGGAGGATCCAGCCAGGACCGCGGCGCTGACCGGAGGTTCCTGGAGCTCCCCAGATCTGCCCCCATCCTCCTGAGGCGGGACTCACCTGGCCAGGGCTGGGAGCTCCGCGCCTGAGGAGCTCCGGGAGACCCCAAACGCCCCGGACCGGTGGGAATGGGGCTCCCCTGGGACCGCTGGGGGATCCCGGGCGGAGATGGGGGACACGGAAACGCGGGAAAGGCTCTGGGAGTCCTGGGAATGCCAGGCTGGGCAATGGAAATGTGCACCTGCACATCCACGGAATTCGGAGCTTTCTGGGATTTCAAAGCCTCACCCGGCGCTGGTTTCCCTATAACGTCCAGCAGCACTTCCCGTGAATTCAGGAAAATTATTTACATTGCTTTTAGTGGGGGAATCAATTTTAAAAATGAATTTATTTAAAGGATTAAGCTCATGTTTAAAGGGTTAAGCTAATTTTCAGGAAAATTATTTTCATTAATTTTTCAGGGGGGAAAATCAATTAAAAAAATCAATTTTAAAAAATGAATTTATTTAAAGGATTGAGCTCGTATTTAAAGGATTAAGCTAATTTCAGGAAATTTATGTTAATTGTTTTTTAGTGGGGGAATCAATTTTAAAAATGAATTTATTTAAAGGATTAAGCTCATATTTAAAGGGTTAAGCTAATGTTCAGGAAAATTATTTTCATTGTTTTTTTGGTGGGGGAATCAATTTTAAAAAATGAATTTATTTAAAGGATTAAGCTCATATTTACAAAGTTAAGCTAATTTGTAAAGGATTAAGCTAATTTTCAGGGAAATTATTTTCTTTGTTTTTTTGGGGGTAATCAATTTAAAAAATGAATTTATTTAAAGGATTAAGCTCATATTTAAAGGGTTAAGCTAATTTGTAAAGGATTAAGCTAATTTTCAGGAAAATTATTTTCATTGTTTTTTGGGGGGAATCAATTAAAAAAAAAGAACTTGTTTAAAGGATTAAGCTCGTATTTAAAGGGTTAAGGTAATTTGTAAAGGATTAAGCTAATTTTCAGGAAATTTATGTTAATTGTTTTTTAGTGGGGGAATCAATTTTAAAAATGAATTTATTTAAAGGATTAAGCTTATATTTAAAGGGTTAAGCTCATTTGTAAAGAATTAAGCTAATTTTCAGGAAAAGTATTTTAATTGTTTTTTAGTGGGGGAATAAATTTTTAAAAATGAATTTATGTAAAGGATTAAGCTCATATTTGCAAGATTAAGCTAATTTTCAGGAAAATTAGAATCAATTAAAAAATGAATTTATTTAAAGGAATAAGGTAATATTTTCAGGATTAAGCCAATTTTCAGGAAAATTATTTTAATTGTTTTTTAGTGGGGGAATCAATTTTTAAAAATGAATTTATTTAAAGGATTAAGCTTATATTTAAAGGGTTAAGCTCATTTGTAAAGAATTAAGCTAATTTTCAGGAAAAGTATTTTAATTGTTTTTTAGTGGGGGAATCAATTTTAAAAAATGAATTTATTTAAAGGATTAAGGTAATATTATCAGGATTAAGTTAATTTTTAGGAAAATTATTTTTTTGGAGGAGGGAATAATTAAAAAAAAATATTTAAAGGATTAAGCTCATTTTCCAAACTTCCCTTGCAGCCCTCAGGGCTGGGAATGGGATTTCTGCTTTCCACCCTCATTCCCAAACGCTGGAATTGCTGGGATGGGGCTCCTGGGTTGGGATCGTGGGGCTGGGATGGTTCTTCCAGCATTGGATCCATGAAAATTTGGCCTCCTTGAACCCAAATTTTGACTCCTCTTCCTCCCTGAGCCCAAACCACGGATAATGAAAAGCCAAAGCCTTCCCCACGGAGCTGGATCCCACTCCCACCCCTCAGTGTCCCTTCCCTGAAACAGGGATAAAAATTCCGTAGGAAATGGGGAATTAGGGATGTCCTGGAGAAGCTGTGGGAGAGGGGACAAAGCCAGGACTGCAGTCACCAGTGAGACCAATCCCGTTGCAGGTGGACAATGGTTTTATTTTCCATGCAAAACAGACAAAATCAAGGAATTTGTGGACACGAGGTGTCCCAGAGTCTGGAAAAAGGAATTTTAAAACTTTATCCAGATTTGGGATGTGGGAACAGCTCCATGGGAATCATGGTTTGGTCCCCTTGGACATTCCTGGTCTGTCCCAAACCCTGCTTGGCTTCAGTGGAGAGTTTGGGATCATCTGAGGAAAGCAGGAAATGAGGCTGTTCCCGGGAAAAATCCTTAAAAACTCTTCAGGAAGGGAACGGATGAGGAATCCAAGGACAAGCACATGGGAATAGCAGGGAGCAGATCCCACTCAGCAGCCGATGGAGCTGGGGCCTGGGGCAGGGCCTCACCCGCGCTGGATTTTCCATCTCCTGTCTGTGTGCTGGGGGGGATCCAGGAGGAGCTCCCGGCAGCTGGGAATGCCCCAAATCCCGGGATAAGGGGTCCCAGCCCCACCTGGGCCGGGCTGGAATCCCAGGAATGTCCCGGCTGTGGGACAGGACATTCCAGGAGCCGGGCAGGCATCCTGGGAAGGGGATTCATTCCAACAGGGATGGCTCCAGCTGGGCCTGCAGCCCCTGCTCCAGAGCTCCCGGCGGAATTCCCTACAAATCCATCCCATTCCTTGTCCCGTTCCTGCTGGGAATTGCCTTGGTTTTCCCAGCCAAACCCCCGTGGATGTGAACGTGGGTGTGTTCCCTAAACACTGGGAATGTACTTTGGAATCTGTCCCTCAGCAGGTGGGGCTGGATCCTCCTCGATCCCAGGATGGAACTGAGGATCCTGCTGTCCTTGGGAATGTGGGAGCTCTTGCAGCACCTCTGGTTTGCTCTTCCATGTGGGAAGGATCCTTTTGGGAAAGGTTAATTTGGGGAGGGTCCATTTGGGAAAGATTCATTTGGGAAGGTTCTATTTGGGAAGGATCCATTTTGGAAGGGTCCATTTGGGAAAGGTTCATTTGGGGAGGATCCATTTGGGAAGGGTCTGTTTGGGGAGGGTTAATTTGGGAAGGGTGAGTTTGGGAAGGATCCATTTGGGAGGGGTCAATTTGGGGAGGATCCTTTTGCGAAAGATCAGTTTGGGAGGGGTCAATTTGGGAAGGGTCCATTTGGGAAGGATCCATTTGGGAAAGGTTAATATGGGAAGGATCCATTTGGAGAGGATCCATTTGGGAAGGGTTTATCCAGGAGCCAGGTGTGGATGGCCTCTCCCTGGGAGGCAGCTGGGAAGGGAGGATCCCACTCCTTATCAGCTGATAAGAGCTGTCCCTGCCTCAGCTCTGCCTGGAGCCCACAGATCCCTTCCCACCTCCCTGGGAATTCCCTTCCCTAAAGGGGGAAGATCCTGCGGGAGCTCCAGGCAGGTGACGTTTGGAATTCCCGTCTGTCCCACAGGGCTGGGATGTTCTGGATGTTCTTGTCCAGCCAGGAGCTGGGAAAGGCTCCCAGGCAGGGCTGGTGGGAGGAAAAGCTGTTCCCAGCCTGGAGCAGGACTTTCCTGGGAATCCCGGTGGGAAACCCCTCCCAGCTTCCTGCTCAAAGCAGGGATTTCTCCTGGGCTCTGAGCAAATCCCTCCTTCCAAGGGTCCTCTGAGCATCCCGAAGGCTGAGCCTGGCACACCTGGGACACCTGGGCAGCCCACAAAGGGGTGAGTGACCAACTGGACACAGAGCAGGTGTGGCCTTGTTCTCCCCGTGCCTCAGTTTCCCTGCATGGAAAATGGGGACCGTGTCCGTGTCCTGCTGGATGAGAACACTGGGAATTTGGGTCATTGTCCCTCTGGTGGCTCTCCAGGACATTTCCCACCCACCAGGACATCTCCAGCCCTCTGGCTGTCCCGTGGTGTCCCACCTGGAATGTCCCCGTGGCCGTGCCCTGGATGGGGCTGGTGGGATCTCATTTTCTCCTCTCGCTGAGCACCTCCTGGGGAAGAAGGGCCAAATTTCTCTCCCAAATTTCTGCCCCAGATTTCTTTCCCAGGTTTCTCCCCCACCTCCCAAACCTGCTGCGTGCAGGGATGCAGGAAGAGGTGGGATTTCGGCGGGGCTGGGAGGTTCAGAGGAAGGGGTGGATATTCCGAGGTGGAGGGTGGTGGGAGCAGGGAAGGAGCAGGGATGGTCGGTGGAGGAAGAGCTGAGCCTGGACCAGCTGGAAAACAGCAGAGGGAAAGTGGGAAGGGACGGGGGGGGGAAATTGTGATGGGACCCAGGGTGGGCTTGGAGCAGCCACGGAGCCACCGGCGGCTCCTGGGATCCAAACCCAGCTCAGGCTGTGGGGTGACAATGGCTGGGACCCATTGGGGACACCGGGGCTGTGTGGGTGACAATGGCTGGGACCCATTGGGGACACCAGGGCTGTGTGGGTGACAATGGCTGGGACCCACTGGGGACACTGGGGCTGTGTGGGTGACAATGGCTGGGACCCATATGGGGACACTGGGGCTGTGTGGGTGACAGTGGCTCCATTGGGGACACTGGGTCTGTGTGGGTGACAATGGCTGGGACCCATATGGGGACACCGGGGCTGTGTGGGTGACAATGGCTGGGACCCATTGGGGACACCAGGGCTGTGTGGGTGACAATGGCTGGGACCCACTGGGGACACTGGGGCTGTGTGGGTGACAATGGCTCCATTGGGGACACTGGGGCTGTGTGGGTGACAATGGCTGGGACCCATTGGGGACACTGGGGCTGTGTGGGTGACAATGGCTGGGACCCACTGGGGACACTGGGGCTGTGTGGGTGACAATGGCTCCATTGGGGACACTGGGGCTGTGTGGGTGACAATGGCTGGGACCCATTGGGGACACTGGGGCTGTGTGGGTGGCAATGGCCCCATTGGGGACACCGGAGGGGTGTGGGTGACAATGGCTGGGACCTCTCTGGGGACACTGGGGCCAGGTGGGTGGGGAGGTTGATGCTGAAGGTGCTGGTGACAAACTCAGAGATGTCCCCAGAGGAGGAACAGGGAGATCCCTCCTGAGGTTGTCCCTTCCCAGTGTGTTGGTGGCTGTGGCAGGAACAGCTCATGGCGGGATTTGGGAGGGCTGTGGTGGGGACAGGGCCACCAGGCCCAGCTGGGGGAGGTTCGGGAATCCCTACGGACCCAACGGAGCAGCCGGGGCAGGAGATGGGACAACAAAGCCTTGGAAACTCCAGAGATGGCAGCTTTAATCAGGAACCTTCCCGGGTGACGCGTCCCCTGCGCCCTGCTGGGGACAGGAACCTCTTCCCTGCGCGTGGAAACGTCCGGAAGGAACGGCGGGGGAGAGCGAGGAGGAGGAGGAGGAGGAGGAACACGGATGTGGGGTGGCTCGATGGGTCACAGCCAGCCAGGGCCGATGTCCCAGCCGGCCATCAGTCCCCTCGGTGGCCCCCAGTCACTTCCTGCGCCCGATCTGGGCCATCAGGTGGGCGTTGGCCGCCGCCTTGGCCCGCAAGTTCTTGGCCTTGGCGATGTTGAAGAGGATGTTCATGATGTTGGTGGGGACGTCCAGGGACAGCGTCACCTTGGTGCGCCGGTCGCTCTTGGCCCGGTTCTGCTGGGTCTTGCCCTTGCCCTGCGCCTGGGACACGTATTTGTGGTGGCCGTCCCCCGGGAATGTCCTTTTCCCCAGCTCCTCCTCCTCCTCCTCCATGTCCTCCTGGGACGCCTCCTCCAGGGACGGGGAGGCGGAGCCGCGCTTTTCCAGGACGGCGTTGTCCTCGGGAAGGATCCGGCGTGGCTCCGCGAGGGCGGCCTGGAGGCAGCTGAGGATGGAGGCGGCGCTGGAGAGGCTCAGGGCGCGGCCGGCGCCAGCGGCTCCCAGCAGGACGAGGAGCAGCAGCAGCCTGGGGTGGGACATGGCGCTGGCCTGGCCGGGAGAGGGAGGTGAGCTTCCCATGGGGAGAGAGATCCTCATCTCCTCATCCCTTCCCATCCCTGAACCTTCCTCCCTGCGCTCTTGGAGTCACCTCCCAGGTCCCATCCGAATTTTGGGGCAGGTGGGAAGGAACTTCCTGGGGATGCAAGCTCCACGCCTCGGCTTTGGGGTGCTGGTGGGAGGTGGGATGTCCAAGGAGCTTCCATGGAATTTCCTTGGAGGTGAGGGTTTGGTCTTTGCTTCCATGGAGCTTCCATGGAGAGGACTTGGCCATTCCTTCATGGAACTTCCATGGAGCTTCCATGGAGAGGAGGACTTGGCCATGCCTTCATGGAGCTTCCATGGAGAGGAGGACTTGGCCATGCCTTCATGGAGCTTCCATGGAGAGGAGGATTTGGCCTTTCCTTCATGGATCTTCCATAGAGAGGAGGATTTGGTCTTTCCTTCATGGAACTTCCATGGAGCTTCCGTGGAGGGGAGGATTTGACATTTCTTTCACGGAATTTCCGTGGAGAGGAGGACTTAGACTTTCCTTTGTGGAGTTTCCATGGAGCTTCCACAGAGCTTCCATGGAGGTGAGGGTTTGGTCATTCCTTCATGGAATTTCCAAATGGTTTGGAGGATTTTGCCTTTTCTTCATGGAATTTCCATGGAGAGGAAGAGTTAGCCTTTCCTTCATGGAGCTTCCATGGATGAGAATGTTTGACCTTTCCTTCGTGGAGTTTCCATGGAGCTTCCATGGTTTGGAGAATTTCACCTTTCCCTGATAGAATTTCCATGGAACTTCCACGGAGATTCCATAGAGAAGAGGATTTGGTCCTTCCTTCATGGAACTTCCATGGAGATTCCATGGAGAGGAGGATTTGGCCTTTCCTTCATGGAACGTCCATAGAGTTTCTATGGATGAGAGGATTTGACCTTTCCTTCATGGAATTTCCATGAAACTTCCACGGAGAGGAGGATTTTGCCTTTCCTTCGTGGAGTTTCCATGGAGAGGAGGATTTGGCCTTTCCTTCGTGGAACTTCCATGGAACTGCCATGGAATTTCCATGGAGAGGAGGATTTGGCCTTTCCTCCATGGAACTTCCACGGAGATTCCGTGGACAAGGAGGAGCATTTTGCTCTTCCTTCATGGAGCTTCCGTGGGTTTTCCATGGAGGGAATCTTGCAGGGCGCACACGCGGCTGCTGCGGGCCCCGTTTGGGATCCCATGGATCCCTCTCCAGCCCCCGGGAGCGCCCCGGGTGCCACCGGCTGCCGCCAGGGTGACGTTCCCTGTCCCCTGCTCGCCCCGGAGCCACCGGAGACGTTCCTCGAGCCCGTCCCTCCTCCCTCATCCCAAAGGGATGTGGGAATGCCGATCCCGGGCGATGGCCCCGTGTGCTCCGGGCTTGCTCCACCCCCTGAGCCTCCTACGTGAAACGTGGCCACTTTTGGGTCTTTTTGGGTCTTTTTGGGTCTTTTGGGCCCATTTTTGGGGGCTGTAAATCCCTGGACAACTCTCCTGCTCCACAAGCCCTCCCCATCTGCCTTTACCCACTCCTGACCCCTCCCAAAATCCACCAAGGATCTCCCGTGGGGCTTTTTGCCCATTCCAGGATGGAAAAATGTCCCCAGGCAGCCCCGAGGCCACGCAGGCTCTCCGAGCTCCTGGAATCCTGCTGGCATTCCCAAACCCCTGGAATCCTTCTGGCATTCCCCAAAAACCTGGAATCCTTATGGAGTTCCCAAACCCCTGGAATCCTGCTGGAATTCCAAAAACCCTGGAATCCTTATGGAATTCCCAAACCCCTGGAATCCTGCTGGAGTTCCCAAACCCCTGGAATCCTACTGGAATTCCCCAAAACCCTGAAATCCTTCTGGCATTCCCAAGCTCCTGGAATCCTGCTGGCATTCCCAAAAGCCTGGACTCCTGCTGGAATTCCCCAAACCCCTGGAATCCTGCTGACATTCCCCCAAAACCTGGAATCCTTCTGGCATTCCCAAAACCCCTGGAATCCTGCTGGCATTCCCAAGCTCCTGGAATCCTGCTGGCATTCCCAAAAGCCTGGAATCCTTCTGGAGTTCCCAAACTCCTGAAATCCTGCTGGAGTTCCCAAACCCCATGAATCCTACTGGAATTCCCAAAAACCTGGAATTCCCAAAAACCTGGAATCCTACTGGAATTCCCAAAAACCTGGAATTTCCAAAAACCTGGAATCCTGCTGGAATTCCCCAAACCCCTGGAATCCTGCTGACATTCCCCAAAAACCTGGAATCCTTCTGGAATTCCAAAAACCCTGGAATCCTTCTGACATTCCCAAACCCCTGGAATCCTGCTGGAATTCCAAAAACCCTGGAATCCTGCTGACATTCCCCAAACTCCTGGAATTCCCAAAAACCTGGAATCCTTCTGACATTCCCAAACCCCTGGAATCCTGCTGACATTCCCAAACCCCTGGAATCCTGCTGACATTCCCCCAAAGCCTGGAATCCTTCTGACATTCCCCAAACCCCTGGACTCCTGCTGGAATTCCAAAACCCCGGACTCCTGCTGGAATTCCCAATCTTCTGGCCCCATCTCGTGGCCAGCGGCTCGCACGGCAATTCCCGGCCGGAATTCCATCCCGGGGGCGGCGGGCACCTCAGCCTGGGGCTGGAATTCCGTCCCCGATTTTGGGGTTGGGAGCGGCAGATTCCATCCCGTGGAGCAGCGGGAGGTGCTGGGGAGGCCCCTGGGAATGGGGGATGTTCCTCAGATCCATCCAAACTCACCCCGGGGTCTGGGATCTGTCCCCTGCTCGTTCCAAATAGCCCTTCCCTGTCTGTGGAGGGGGAATTTTGGGAATTTTTATCCTCCAAATTTTGCCCTTTGCCAACCCTTGGAGTGGGAATTTTGGGAAGGTCTTTTCCCCTTAAATTTACCCTTTGCTGTTCCTCAGAATGGGAATTTTGGGCAGGTTTATTCCCTTAACTCTGCCCTTTATTGTCCATGGAGGGAGAGATTTGGGAAGTTTCATCCTCTAAATTTTGCCTTTTGCTATCCCTTGGTGTGGGAATTTTTGGGAAGCTTTATTCCCATTAATTCTGCTCTTTGCCATTCCTGAAGTGGGAATTTTGGGCAGGTTTATCCCTTTAACTCTGCTCTTTATTGTTCATGGAGGGAGAGATTTGGGAAGTTTCATCCCCCAAATTCTGCCTTTTGCCCTTCCTTGGAGAGGGAATTTTGGGCAGGTTTATTCCTTAAATCTGCCCTTTATTGCCTGTGAAGGGGGAAGTTTGGGAATTTTTATCCTCTAAATTTTGCCCTTTGCCCTTCCTTGGAGTGGAAATTTTGGGAAGGTCTTTCCCCTTAAATTTGCCCTCTGCTGTTCCTCAGAGCTGGAATTTTGGGCAGGTTCATTCCCTTAGTTCTGCCCTTTGCCATCGCTTGGAGTGGGAATTTTGGGAAGTTTCATCCTCTAAATTCTGCCTTTTGCCCTTCCTTAGAGAAGGAATTTTGGGAAGGTTTTTTTCGTCCTTAAATTTGCCCTTTGCTGTTCCTCAGAGTGGGAATTTTGGGCTGATTTATTCCCTTTAACTCTGCCCTTTATTGTCCAGGGAGGGAGAGATTTGGGACGTTTCATCCCCTTAACTCTTCCCTTTTCCATCCCTTAGAGAGGGAATTTCGGGAAGTTCTTTCCCCTTAAATTTGCCCTCTGCTGTTCCTCAGAGTGGGAATTTTGGGCAGCTTTATTCCCTTAGTTCTGCCCTTTGCCATCACTTGGAGTGGGAATTTTGGGAAGTTTCATCCTCTAAATTCAGCCTTTTGCCATTCCTTGGAGATTGAATTTTGGGAAGGTTTATCCCCTCAATACTTCCCTTTTCCATCCCTTGGAGAGGGAATTTTGGGAAGGTCTTTCCCCTTAATTTTGCCCTTTGCCGTTCCTCAGAGGGAGAATTTTGGGCAGGTTCATTCCCTTTAACTCCGCCCTTAGGTCTGTCCTTGGAGAGGGAATTTGGGGAAGTTTCATCCTCTAAGTTCTGCCCTTTGCCATTCTGGAAATTTTGGGAAGGTCTTTTCCCCTTAAATTTGCCCTCTGCTGTTCCTCAGAGTGGGAATTTTGGGCAGGTTTATTCCCTTAGTTCTGCCCTTTATTGTCCATGGAGGGAGAGATTTGGGAAGTTTCATCCTCTAAATTTTGCCTTTTGCCATTCCTTGGAGATTGAATTTTGGGAAGGTTTATCGCCCTCAATACTTCCCTTTTCCATCCCTTAGAAAAGGAATTTTGGGAAGGTTTTTTTCCTCCTTAAATTTGCCCGTTGCTGTTCCTCAGAGTGGGAATTTTGGGCTGATTTATTCCCTTTAACTCTGCCCTTTATTGTCCAGGGAGGGAGAGATTTGGGACGTTTCATCCCCTTAACTCTTCCCTTTTCCATCCCTTAGAGAGGGAATTTCGGGAAGTTCTTTCCCCTTAAATTTGCCCTTTGCTGTTCCTCAGAGTGGGAATTTTGGGCAGCTTTATTCCCTTTAACTCTGCTCTTTGGATCACTTGGAGGGGGAATTTTGGGCAGGTTTATTCCTTTAGATCTGCCCTTAGATCTGTCCTTGGAGAGGGAATTTTGGGACATTAAATTTCCCCTTAAATTTGCCCTTTGCAATTCCACAGAGCTGGAATTTTGGGCAGGTTTATTCCCTTGACTCTGCTCTTTGCTCTCCATGGAAAAGGGGAGAGATTTGGGAGGTTCATTCCCTGCTCTTTGCTCTCCATGGAAAAGGGGAGAGATTTGAGAGGTTCATTCCCTGCTCTTTGCTCTCCATGGAAAAGGGGAGAGATTTGGGAGGTTCATTCCCTGGACTCTTCCCTTTCCCCCTTCCCAAAGGGAGATTTGGCCGTGCCAATCCCCCCTCAGGATTTCAGGGAGCTGCTCCATTTCCCCTCCTTTGCCTCCCATTTCACCCCTTCCCAAAACCCCCAAATCCAAAATTCCCAAATCCCCCAAAATCCCCTCCACCTTTCCCT